AATATATATATATATATATATATGTATATATATATATATATGTATATATATATGTATATATATATGTATATATATATGTATATATATATATATGTACATATATATATGTATATATATATGTACATATATATATATATATATATATATATATATATATATATATATATATATATATATATATATATATATATATATATATATATATATATATATATATATATATATATATATATATATATACTTAGGTGATGTGGGTAATCAAACTATGCGGTCAATTTTTGTTTGTTTTAATGTTCCCATCCAGAAAGTGGACACGGGGGAGCCGGACGTTTTCTCAAAAGACACTGGGCTGAATGCCGTTTGCCAGAAGTACACTAGCCCGAATGCGACAAAAGCCCATAATGGACTTTTGCCAGAATGCGACAAATCCCTGAATTGACACTTGCCCGAATGCGACCAATGCACGAATGGACACTTGCCCGAATGCGACAAATGCCTGAAAGCCACTTGCCCGAATGCTGTTTGTCTCTCCTAGAAGAGCTGCTGTCCCCTGCTGTCGAGCCTCATTAGCCCAAAAAGTTCGAACTCGAGACTTTGCAGTTAGCAACCATGCGCTTTACATACTCGACCACGCTGACTCTTTATAACTAACAAGGATTTTTTTTTTTGGTAGTCTTATGGTCTGTCTGTCTCTTGGACCGAAGGCCCTTTTGGTCCATGTGGCATTACATATACAAACACAAACAGAGCAATACATTACTCACAATGAAATGGCAGCTAGAATAATAAAACACAATCACATGCACATCCTGGCCAGTTTGCAGCCAATACAGTGTCAATTTTAAAGTTCATCTGACATTAGCCAGGTTATCCCGACCAATGTGCACATTAAAACAAAACAAATACTCGCAGATAAACAATGCCGTTCATTTTCAAAGCTCTAATTTTCACATTAGAATGACAGTGAACAGCTCACTTTGTCAAGAACAAATCCTCTGCAACTTACCTGCAAGTACCCAATCTTATAGGTGTGAGTAACAAATAAACAACCCCACTTTGCTTTTATAGATAAAAAGATATGTGTATATTGTTAAGATCCCATGGGATCTTACCTAATAATTTGCCAGCATTGGTAATGGATGAAGTCGTTACCTCTTGTTTTTGGAGGTGAGCTTCCCACGGGCTGCCCTACTCTTATAACAGCTGTGTTTGATTGTTCCCAGATCAAGACCAGCAATGTGGAGGCCATGACCTCAACTGGAGGTCACGTGTTCTACATCCTGAGTTTAACCAAACGAATCTTTTGTCAGCGCCGGTGACAAGCAAATTCGTTACCTCTTGTCTTGGAGTTGAGCCTCACTAAGGCTTCCCTCCCCTTATCAAGGAGGTGTTTTATGGCTCTCTGACCGACTCAGTCAAGACCAGCAAATTGGAGAAGGTGACCTCAGTGGGTTACGCTACTCCCATCAACCGACGGTGTGTACATGCGAGCGCATACCACCTCACTTTCACAGAGACGGGGCATGCAGTTGACCTCTCTTTGTGCGACGCAGTGTTTAGGATTATGAGGATTGAGTCAAAACAGGACTAGCGTGAACGCAGACCAAGACCACGCCTAATGTGCAAGTTATTATTGTGGACGGGCAATAGCTCAGTCACTAAAATTGTGCTACGCCAGCATAAAGTTTGGCTGAATTTTTATTTTTTACTGACTCATGATGACATAAAAATAAATTGTACTTTGCATTTCAAGCCTATCAGAACTGTTCCCTAGGTTGACTGTTTTGGTTTTTCCCAAGATGCAAGTGAACTAAAATAAATGAACGATTTTTAGGCTTGAAGAATGCACAGTTTTGCAGACATCTTGTTTGAAAAAAAAATATTAATGATTTATTGCATGATGATGTATTTGTGATGGTTTTTATTTATTGCATTGACATAATTTGTTGACTGATGACGTAATTATCAATATAACAAAGACCAATAGTTTTACCTTGAAGATCATTCATGACAGTAATGGTTTTATTTACTTTTGTCGACATTTGATGTCATTGTGTTGGGATTTTAGTCAACATGTTATTATGACTAAACCATCCATTTTTCTCTCATCTTAATAATAATGTTAAAAGTGATTTAGTCTTGATAAGGTTTGTTCTGGGACTTTTGAGGTATTGTGAGATTGGGATAGGATAGTTTAGATTATGTTCAATTAATGTGGCGAATTAATTTCTTGAAGGGTGGAGGTGTTACGATCCCATGGGATCTTACAGTGTTTGGCTATGGCTGAACGTGGGATGATCAGGGTGTCCATCTGGTGATTTATGGAAGGGGGAATTCTTGATGGTCAAGCCCTTATTAACGGTTGGGCGCTACGGTCAGCTAGTATGGTGATTTATGGCTGAAAACCCTGACCGGATATGACAGTGAGGTAGATCTCGCAACTGCCTGGGCGGATATTTCCCACTCGAAGCACGGTAGACTTGACTATTTTAGGAGGGGTTAGACGACATGTGGACAGACACACTCGGATAGCTATGGCGAAGAGACTCATGGTATGTCTCTCTGTGAGCAAGGTCAGGGGATGTCTGTACTGTAGTGGACCTGGGCTAGGATAGACCGCTAGGGACAAAGTACGGTAGTCGGACTAAGGACTTGTTATCTTATAGTTTTTGTTTTCATGAGGTGGCGGGTTAGTGTTATCGTGGCAATAAAAAGAAATAATTAATATTTGTGTTTATGTATTCTTAGTTCATGTTCTTGTTGACGATTCCCTGCCTGGTTCGAAAGCATTAGAGAAGGAGGTTGTTTTATATATATATATATATATATATATATATATATATATATATATATATATATATATATATATATATATATATATATATATATATGTGTGTGTGTGTGTGTGTGTGTGTGTATATTTTTTTTGATAATTAATTTTTTAATTTAATTTGATTTAAAAAAAATATTTTTAAACATTTAAAAAAATTTCTTACCACTCTTTGTGAGTCAAGATCAGACTTATTTGCTACAAGTAGCATAGGAAATTCATCACGATCTTTAACTCTCAAAATCTGCCTATGAAACTTGAAGATTTCTTCAAAACTGTGTCAGAATTATAAGAGTATGAATTAGCATTTTAACTATAATAGCTAATAACATTCAACAATCATTATGAATGAAATTTTCATTTATTTATAAGGCTCATGGTTTTTACACCTTTTCAATTGTGCGTGAAACTTTATGTGTGACCAAACCTTTTACTGTGGAAAGTTTATTTTTTCACATTTAGCATAACTAAAAGCTAATATTATAAAGGTTTCTATACAAGTTTTTTAAGATTTGTTTCATTTTCTACTTTTTAATACTTAGAAATTTAATAAACAGGAATTTAGTTATATAAAAAAAATTAAGTCAATGTTGGAAGTTTTAAAAATTATTACTAAAGTATTTATTCCTTATTTTGTTCATTTTTTGTATATTAAATCACCACCCAACGAGACTAAAAATGCTTCTTAAAAAGCTGGTAAGACTGACCCATTTATGGAAGACTACATTTAATATTTGATGTGAAGTCTCTGTACATGTCATGGGACAGAGTGGCCTAGTGGTAGAGAGTTGGACTGCTAACCCATAAGTCTCGAGTTCAAATCCGGGTTCAAGTCAGAAGATCCAACTCTGATGGGTACCTAACTCATATTAGGGTAAGTAAAGGCTGCTTGGGCATAGTGCTGACCACACCATCCCTTCATATGCCAAGGTCACAGAAACAAGTGAACTCTACTTCCCTTGCCCCGTAGAATCAGATTTAAAAGAGAACTTAACTTTTTTTTACTCTGTACATGTCAACTAACTAATTAAGAGAAATAAACTAAATGTCAATATTGATAACTTCCTGAAGTAAAAAAATAAAAAAATGTCTAGGCATCTGCAGAGAAACCCCCTATCATTATTGTCGCCATGGACAAAAAATGTAATTGTGTAAATTTTGCATTAAAAGTGGTAATTAGATTCTTTTTTTCAAATAAGCAATTTCTTTTACAAATTAATGTTATAAAAGTTACTAATGCAGAGTACTTGAAAAATATTTGTGTTTTTTTTAAGGCTACATTTCAATTTATTTAAATCAACCCAGAATTGTTACTTGAAGTTTCACTTTAGTAAGATGAACTTTGATAGACTGTTGAAACACTATAACTGTATTTCCGTAAACCCCACTTTGTGCTCATAACATTGCCGGTTTTTATAAATTTTTAACTTTTGTATACATTTCAATAAGAAAAAAACAAATTGCTTTTGGCTTTTTTTCATAATTTCTTCAGTTATAGAAAAAACTAACATCATTTATTGCTTCTACTATTTAGAAAAGTCATACAAAAACCACACAAGTTTAAAAAAACCAAACAAAAAAACCCCATCTGTTTAAAAAAAAAGTTGTACACAATTTTAAAAATAAAATAATCATAGGGCATCTTTTGGCTACTCCCAATGGGGGCCATCATAACATAAAAAAATTGAAACATACCTGCTCCTGTCAATGACTGAATACACAAGCAAGAAACCTTCCCCTGATCGCATATATTGTTCTCTCATAGCACTAAACTCTTCTTGGCCAGCAGTATCTAGAACTAATAAAAATTTTGTTATATTTTATGCAAAAAGTTTTCTTTTAAAATAAAATATATATTTAGAATCTATATATGTTAACTTTAACTAAACAGAAAAGTAGAAATATACTAACATAATTAAAAAATTTTAAACAAACATTTTCTGATTTCCTAAAAAAATAAACATTCTCTATATTAAACTTACTATCTAGTCTTGCAACATGTTCATCAATAACACATTGTTTGGTGTATGAATCTTCTATTGTTGGATCATAGTCAGTTACAAAGTATGACTGAAGAATAGTAAATATCTATTTGCAATATATGAAAATGTACTCAAACACACATTAATTATAGCATATATATACATGGGAACAGGGCATTTCCCCCCTGTCAATTACCCCCCAGAGTAATTACCCCCTGCCCAGTAGGACATTACCCCCGGACAGGGTTAGGGCTAGGTTTAGGGTTAGGTTGGTTTAGGGCCAGTGTTTCTTCCAGACTTTTTTCTCCGGGGAGGGGGGGTTCGGTAGACTTTCTTCGGGGGGGGGGGGGGGGGGGGGGGCGGACACTGTTAAAAGTATATATTTTCTATATAAAGTATATAAATTTCATTTCGTTCGGGGGGCCTGGAAGAAACTCTGTTTAGGGCTAGGGTTATGGTTAGGGCTAGGGTTAGGATTAGGGCTAGGGTTAGGGCTAGGATTAGGGCTAGGGTTATGGTTAGGGTTAGGATTAGGGCTAGGGTTAGGGCTAGGATTAGGGCTAGGGTTATGGTTAGGGCTAGGGTTGTGTCTAGCATTGGTTTTGGTTTTGTGAAGTTTTAGGCTAAGGTGGATGCTTAGGTTTTGGTCTTTTTCTTAAGGTTTGGATTAAAGTAGTATAAAGGTATAGAATTCTAGTTAGAGTTAGGATTCTAACTTGAGAGGGGGGGGGGGGGGGGGGGGGGGGTAATTGACAGGGGGGTAATTACAGGGGGGGGAATGTCTGGGGGGGGGGAATTTCCAGGGGGGTAATGTCCTGTAGCCTATATACATACATATAAATATACAGACATATATATATACATATATAATTCTCTACGTGGGGACTATGGGGGGCACCACCACCACCACGTAAGCGCATATATACACCTATATACATACACACATTTACATACATATATAAACAAATATATATACATATGTATGCATATATTTATATACATAGATATAAATATATCTATAATATAACCCGCCAGGTAGTTTGTCAGTCTTCTGTCATTCATCATAGTTATTTTGGAACCATAATTTTTAATTACTTAAACTTTTAAAAGTAGAATAAACTATTGCAGAAAAAAGAATTGCACCAACAAGTGAGGGCTAAACAATCTGTGTATAATAGTGCGAAATATTAGTACTTTATAAATCCATATGGGTTGTTTTTTTTGAGAAATCGGAAAAAGTGTAAATTACTACTTCCGGTGATCGGAAATTACTCAAAATTTGATAGAAGGCAGAGAATTAGATATTTTACTTATATGTGAAATTTTGTTTATCTATCTGAAACAGTACTTAAATTATAGGCTTTTGAAAAATTAGAGTAGAATAAGTTCCACTCATGGTTATCTGAAATGGCTGAAAAATTGATACAGAACTACAAATTTGATATAATACTTATATATGAAATTTTCATCAACCTAGCTGTAGCAGTACTCAAGTTATCGTGTTTACAGACACACATACACATACAGACATACGGACAGAATTGCAAAGCCCAGTTTTTCAGACTCGATTACGCATAAAGAGTCAAAAAAATTTAAAATCTGGATTTATAATTTTTGCACGATTAAAATAAGTCCTCAATACTCTGGATGTGATGAAGGACTGAGGTGTAAAACGGTGAAAACTGTCACAATTTCAAGTGATTTTTGTGCACAATTACAATACTTTCTCTATACTCTGTAAACGAGAAAGTAAAAAAGTGTATGTGAATTTCCTGGACGCCCATGAGAACTTTATTATTGGAATACACGAAAGTTAGTTTGATAGAGCCATTTCATAAATTGTTTTCTTTTGTGTGTTGCATTTGCGATTTTTGTGTTTGTGTTTTCGTTAGTGTGTTTTTTGTTTGTTTGCATTTGTGTTGCATTAGCTTTGGAGTTAGTGGGTTTTTTTGTGTTCGTCTTGCGTTGTGTTGTTTTTTCTTTTGAGTCTTTATGTTGCGGTTGCTTGTGCATTTGTGTTTATCTGCGTATGGGTTTGTATTGTTTTCTTTTGTGTTTGTTTTTTTTGTTCTGTTCCAAACTAGGTATATTAAAAAAAGATTCGCCGAGGCGAAGCACTGGTATGCAGCTAGTCTATGGTATGCAGCTAGTCTGTCTGTCTGTCTATCTATCTATTTGTTAAAAAAATAAAGCAATGCATGTGTGTGTGTGTGTCTGTTTGTCTTTTATGCATTATTACACCTTTCATCAGATCGCCATGAAACTCTGGAAAAATTGTTGAGAATACTGCAGGGGAGGTTTCTGCGAAAGATTTTTTTCAAATTCGAAGGGGTGATGCACCGGGAGGGTGCGATTTGTTTTTTCTCTATATACGGTATCTAAAAATAAACGATTGCGGTTTGGCACCATTCATCCAATCGCCATGAAACTTTGGGAGGGTTGATATACAGGGAAGTGTTCTGCAAAAAAAAAAAAATTACCTGGGAGGGTGCAATTTTTCTCTATATACAGTATATAAAAACTTAATAGCCAGATGCAGTTTGACACCTTTTATCCGTGTGCCATGAAACTTTGGGGAGTTGATGAGAATACTCCCAAGTAGGTTGCTATGAACACAAAAATTAAAATTTGATATGGGCGGCATCCGGGAGAGTTCCAGAGCTGCTATGTAACCTCGTGGCATCCGGGATGCATAGCGGTTAGGGGGTACTACTATATTCAGCGTTAAAACTTCAACAGGTGCAACCGCTGGCACCCCATAGATTGCACGACCCAAAGCACCCTGGGCTCACCTGTGAGCACTATGGCACCTAAGTTTGTTAAAAAAAAGGCTATACACTAAAGACATGATGGGCAATGATAATTGTTGACTATATCGAACCAGGTGCATCCCCCGGCGCCCCTGCAGGGTTTGATTTGGCGCCCTGGGCATTCCCGTCAGCGCAATGCACCTACGTTAGTTCTAAACAGTGCGGCAGACAATGGATACGATGGGCCGTTACAGTAGCTCACTTAATTTTATCAAACGTGTCTAGTTCAGGGGTTCCCAACCTTTTTTTACTCTAGAGCACATTCTAAAATATCGACAAACTCCTTCCAGAGGCGTAGCGTCCCTTCCCGTCACCCGAGGACAAAACTTTTGATTTGCAACCCCCCCCCCCTCAAACTTTCAATTTGCACCCCCCCCCCCTTAAACTTTCGATTTGCACCCCCCCTCGAACTTTCGATTTCCATTCCCTTCAACCTTTCAATAATGTTTATGAAAAAAATTCTGTCTCTGTCGAATAATGAGAGGCAGGCACATACGAATCGTTCGGCGGGCGCAATAGCGCCCGCGGGCATGGGGTTGGGAACCCCTGGTCTGGTCTAGTTATTACAGTAGTAGTCTACTTATTAACTTTTATAATGACATTTTAAGTAGGCCCTAACACGTATTAATTAATAATTAAGTATACATAGTATACACTATACTATACTCACTATAATACACTATCATACACTATCCACACACACAGTGTGACAGTACTACAGTGTAGTCTACACACACCACATCTAGAGTCTAGATCTAGATTCTCTAGTCCTAGACTAGAGCTAGAAGCTAGTGTCTAGATCTAAAGTAGAGATTCTGTACTCTCTAACTCTCTATTATTATACTATTGTCACTCTAACTCTATACATAATACATACTTTTATAGCTTAATATTATTAAGTTATAAACCAAGGGATTGTCAGTTAACTACAGACTAAACTCACTACAGCTTAAGTCACACAGTTCGCCTGCAGTCTACTAAAACTAGATCTACAGACTGGATGATTGATTAGTGTTTGCCACTTAAAAGAAACGAGTTTGATCTAGATCTAGATCTTGTTACCTGTATAAACTGAATGGTTAAGGCACTTTTCCCTACACCACCCCCACCTACTACAACCAATTTGTAACTTTGACTAAAACTATTATTATCATTAGCATTGCGAGACATTTTTTTTCTATTATCCAGGAAAGGAAATTTCACTTTAGCATTCTCCATAAAAGAAAATTTTAAAAATACAGGTTAAATAAAAAGTCAGCATCGATTCATTTCATTTATAATATTGTTTGACATTAACATTAAAAACAACAACAACAACAACACAGCCGGTAGTTTTGTCACCAACAATATATATATATATATATATATATATATATATATATATATATATATATATATATATATATATATATATGTGTGTGTGTGTTACGGTCAAAGCGCCACTTAATGGTGTCACCCCCCACCCCCCCGGTAAAAAAGTATATATATATATATATATATATATATATATATATATATATATATATATATATATATATTGCCTAACTTCACTTAGGTTTTAGATAAACTTTTGAGAATTTGAGTGATTAATTAGTTGACGATTGGCTGTTATATAGAGTGCTTAGGGCCTTTGTTTAATTTAACAGTCTGAGTAATTTTAAGTTAATCCAACTAGTAAAATATTTTCTTTTAAATTATTACTTTAAAAAGTTACATCCCCTGTACATATACCAAAAGACGTTATTGTTATAAGAAAAACGGCATCTGGCCCATATTGTTACCCTCTAGGAGGGTCGGTCTGCGACCTCACAAAATATTAGGGGGATCGTTTGTCAATTTATTTATATATATCTCAATGTGAGCGGGTGAATGGATTATTTATTTTCCCACGTTTTCTTTAACTTGTTTTCTCTGTCTTTCCAATCAAATCTTGCTATCGAAATTTCTGGCACTTCCCAGTTAGCTAGCCGCTGAAATTTTCAGGGAAGCTTTCTTTTGGATGACCATAGAATATTCAATTGTTATTATTACTAAATTGATCAATGGAAACATTTAATTGAGCATTTTAGACCGCTATATAATCTATATATATAATTCTCCTCTGCGAGCCATTAGAAAAAAAACGAGCGACGCGTAGCTCGCCTCTCTCTTGCCGCGCGCAGTGAAGCGAACGATCCCACGTCGCGAAAGGCTTAGGGGCATATAATTTAGTTTGAACCGACTTTAAACTTACAGGAGGTAACTATTACCACTTGTGGCCAGTTTGGGGGAGACGATATGGTCGAGTGGTTGGGCACACGATTGCTATCCCACTCGACACGGGTTCAAATCTATGTGTTCTAGTCAGTAACGTATTCACACAACGTGTTTTTTACGAGTTGTCTTTTTACGAGTTGTCTTTTTACGAGTTGTCTTCGTTTACCCAAAAAAAAGTGAAAATATAAAATCGATAGCAAGATTTTTATGCAAACAAACAGACAAAGACTAAAAAGTAGAAAATAATAATCATTAAAAAAGTTTTTAAAAACCCACGTTTTCTGGTTGAACTAAAAAGTAGAAAATAAATGCTATACATCACAATAATGCAAGCGATCACTCTACTATAAGCGATCAAAAACGTGGGGCGCCGTGATTTTCTTACAGTTTCTAATACTGTTGACTCTCTACAAGCTCCCTAATAAAAGTCAATAGTATTATCTAATCAATAGTAATATAACTTTTACTTCGGCGCCCCACGTTTTTGATCGCTTATAGTAGAGTGACCGCTTGCATTATTGTGATGTATAGCATTTATTTTCTACTTTTTAGTTCAACCAGAAAACGTGGGTTTTTTAAAACTTTTTTAATGATTATTATTGTATTAATTTAATTGGTGCGCATCTGTGAGTGCATGGTGGTCCAATAGGGAACGGCCACGGGGTTCGCCCTTCCGCCCGAAGCGGTCAGTATAAATTGACCGCTCGGATTATTTTCTTTCTTTTGACCCGAGGCAAGATCTAGACAGGGTCGGTTTCTGTGTGGGCGCGTGGCGCACCTCACGCGTGGAGGTATTTGTTTTTTTATACTTTATCTTTATGTGATTTGTATGAATGCGACTACCGATGTTTCTCGTTTTCTTTCATTTTCGTCTAAAACGAGATAGCGAGCATCGGCATGTCTGGTATGCACGTGGTGTGTTATTTTGAAAGATTTAAAATGTATTTTTGTATTTTCTAAACCCTTGGCGGGTGTTTTCGGACCCACTGGTTTAGGTCAGTGTGTTAGGAGTGTTTCCTAAACTGGTGTGAATGCGTGTGTGCATTTACTTGATTGTTTTATGATGTGTTGTTATTGACTAGGATTGGCTTAATCAATAGTCGGTTGTTTTAGGCAAAAAGGAGTATATTTTAGTTGCCTCGAGTTTTAGGTTGTTTAAAATTAATGTGTGTGCTGTTTCGTGCAACGTCATGTTGAGTATCGTTTGCTTGGTGTCTGCCTTCATTGGGACCCTAGCGGAGTGTGTTAACTTCAATGTTATCAATATGGATGTTGTATAGGTAGACCAATGGCTTCGGGCTGCTCCTTGTGTAGGAAAGATTGGTTCTACAATGAATTTGTTTTACACGTTATTTTTAAGTTGCTGGTTCTTGGTTAGACAGTGGTTAGTTGTGTTTTTGAGAATTGCTTTAGAATTGTAATAGTAGGGATTAGTTTTACTCGAGGCTTTAGCTAGATAGTAGTAGTAGGTAGCATTTTGAACTTGTGTATATATTTATGTATATATCTGCCATTACCATGCATTTTTCTTATGTTTTCCTTTTCTTTTTCTCTTCCCCCCCCCCCCCCCCCCCTTCCAGTGAGGTTGCTTGTGCGACTTGGCTGGGTGTTTTGTTTTGTTTTGTGTAAAAAGTTTGTTTTGTATATATTGTTTTGTACGTAATGTTTTCTACGTAATGTATTGTACGTAGTGGTTGTACGTTGTGTTTTGTTTGGTGTGGACTTTTGGATGTCGAGAATGGATGAAGGGAGGTTTCTGTGGGTCAGGGCCTGGGCCATCCTAGACATCATAAGTCGGCGCAACACCGTCAAATGGTCAAACGTAATGTTTTGTTGGATATAAATTGTTTGTTACATTCTGTTCGTTGTGTGTAAATTGTTCGGTTTTGTGTCAGTAGATTTTTATCTATTTTTTATTTGATTTTATCATTGGTTCCATGTAATAAATTCAATTAATTGTTAAAAGATTTTTTTGTTTTTATTATTTAGACTAAGGTTAAGTTATTAACCAGTCTGGGTTTAGCCGGGCTTGCACTGACCGGACGGTAATAGATGAGCCTAGAAGGGTAGATAGATTTAAGGTATCCCCCCCCCCCTAGCAGGGCTTACATCAAGTAAGGAGAATTTCAATCTCGTTCATTTTTTAGCCCTAATGGAGGGCTTAGAGTCAAACCGACAGTTTTCCATACAGCCTAGCCATTTACCTAGGTGCATGCAAAAAATTAGCTAGATGTACAGACGGTGTTTTCCCACAAATTACAAAGATTATATAAGGGAAATACGACTGATCAGTTTTGACAACTTTGCAGAATTTTCAGAATATGGCGAGGTTTTTTTCTGACACTCGTATGTGTTTTCTACCACCTCACAAAGTATTAAGGGGATCGTTCGGCCAAAGTTTTTTTTCGTAATATCTCATTAAGGCGCCGGTCAGTCGAGGTCAGTTTTGACCCCCTCTTCGTGGACTTTGCGGGAAATGGGCACAGGCACCTGTGTTCTATTGCCTTAAGGCAGGAGCCTGCCAAATTTGAAGCGCCTGGGGTACCGAGAAGTGCCCTGTCGGGCACCCGACCACTTAGCTTTATATATATATATATATATATATATATATATATATATATATATATATATATATATATATATATATATATATATATGGTGACAGGACAAATGATCCCAGGACAAATGATCTCAGACAAAATATCTCAGACAAAATATCTCACGGACAAATGATCTCAGGACAAATGATCTCACGGACAAAAGATACCAGGACAAAATATATCAGGACAAATGATACCATGGACAATTGACCTCAGACAAAATATCTCAAACCTAAATTTTAATAGTGTATTGGGTGATTTTAGTTGATCTGAACATTTTTATTGACTGTCATATGGTATTGTTTACCTTATTTAATATTGTTTATAGGCCTATATAATTTTAAGAAATGTTTGCAGCATAAATTTGTCATATTGCACTAAACATTTTAAAACCAAGATTACTAATATAGTATGTGAAGATTAAAGAAATTTCTTGAAAGAAAACGTAGGTGAGCTTGCAAAACATGAGACAATCCTACCATGTCAGGTGGACGAAACTAGACCAAAGGGGATGAAATAACAATAAAGACACACCTTCGTATCAAAATGGCAGCCCGCTTTGATGGCAGAGACATGCCTTAAGGGAAGACATCCACCCTCCATTGACAATACAACTAACATCTAAAGTCAATAGTTATGCGTCGGTCACACCTTAGTGATCAGGTGACAAATGCTTATTTAAACGACAGCGGTCATCGCGGAGCTAAGTTTGTCGGAGTGTGCAAAGAAGTAACAAAGAAGTATTAGTTGTGATTAATCAGCTATGGCCTCTTTCGTTACCTCGCAGAAAGGGTATAGGACAATAGTTTCTGGTGATTTATGTTTTAAAATGCCATAAGTGGAGCAACAGGCAAAGAGATTTGGAAATGTGAAGTTAGAACATGTCGAGCAAGAGTTCACACAATACATGATCACATAGTATTAGAGAGGTGTGATCATAACAATGTACCTGCCGGTATAGAAACGTAAGCGTTTCGTTTGTGTTGATTATGCAATAAAAACAATAGTTTTACTTTACGAACCTAAAGACCCATTCACATTTTTGAACATTTTTCGAGTGTTTTGAACATAAATGTTGTATAGTTACCGTTACTTTATTTTTTAATACATTATCATTTATTATACCTTTCAGGAGTAAGTTTGTTTTAATTTTAACTTTTTCAAATCAAATGCTATTAGAAAGATTATGTTTAATAGTTTAATACATTTTTTGATGCTTTATTAAGTTTAACAAATTCACTTTATTCACAATTATTATGTGTAAAAAAGTAAACAAAACCATATTGGCAGTTAGTAAAAAAAACAGTTCAAGTCAACAAAAATCATCGTACACACTATTAACATTT